CGTTAAGAAATCATTGAGCGCTCACTCAACAGTTGTGTCTGCTGAACGCGGCCATTGGCTGGATCTAAAAGTATTAACCAATCATACTGAGCGCTCACTCAACAGTTGTGCCTGCTGAACGTGGCCATAGAACATGAGTCTGTTCTGTGTTCAATCACAGACCCCTTTTAAGCCTATCACCAGGCAACAGGCAACAGGAACAGGGAATATAATTTCTGACGCGTTGGATTGGTTGGAAGAAAATTTCTGACGAATCCAACGCGTCAAAAATTCTATTCTCTATTCCTATTGCCTATTGCCTGGCATTGTGTGATAGGCTTTACTTCCGATGGTACGCGCCAACAGCCAAACATAAAACTGAACCAAGAAAATAGGTTAATTAATGAAGTTTTATGTTGGTACCCTGTTAAGTTAACCGACCGATTAGATTAACTCGCGTTGGTGAAACCGAGCCTAAAGCCCGTATCAGACCACGGATTGAGATTGGGATTAGATTGAAATTTGACCAATCAGAGTAAAAGTTACTGCACTTGAGATTAGTAACCTTTACTGTGATTGGTTAAATTTCAATCTAATCCCAATCCCAATCCGTAGTCTGATACGGGCTTTAGGCTTTTAGTCCAGATAAAGTCTAATGTTTTCGGAGTAACAAGTCTACTCCTTCTTGTAATCGGTCGATATTTATAAAAATAATGAAGAGAGGACAAATTCTAGCTTCATTTATAACATTATTCAAAATTTTAAATGTGCAGCAAAAAACCAGAAAGAAAACGTCTGAAGAATATGATGAAACGTGTAAGAATAAAATTGAGAAAATTGTATCTTCAACAGAGGAATGAATTGCTCTTGTAAACCAGGCTGCAGGTCTGCAGGTCAAGAGATCGACCACGCGCACGCGCATGCAGCGAGTCGCCATGGACGCGCATGCGTCGAGGGATTCCTCGATCTGGGGTTACTGCATGTGGCCTGGTGCCCCTGGTGGGTCCGGTGTACCCCTGACCTGACCCGAAGGTCTGCTGGTAAACACGAGAGTTCGATAGGCATAAAATTGTGCCCCCGTGTCCCAGCGGCACTACACATTAGCCCTATTGTTACGTTGTAATATTAGGTGTATATAATTATAACACAATGGTAAGGATCCCCTCTCGGCGTCGCGTCCGGCCGACGATTCTGTATCCCGGGTCGGCTAACCTTCAAGCTCGCAATGACTCTATTTCCCCGTTTTGCAGGACGTATTTCTAATGATCAGGCGGAAAAAATTGACGATATTCACCGACGCTAAGGATGACACCACAGTCCTCGAGCTGAAGAAGATGATCGAAGGTGAGGCGGGCTTGCCGCGCGAGATCACCCGCGGCAACAAATCCCCCTCTCGGCGTCTGTCGCTCGGCGACTCGCAATTGAATGATTATTAACTTCGATAGAGCGGCTTTCCAGTCGTTTCGTCGAGCGGGCACAGATTCAGGCCTAATTAGCGGTGTACACGGGATAAATTGTGTTAATAGAGAGTGGAGTAATCTTGTATGCGTGTCAAGTATACAATAACAATACATTTGACAAGCTAAAACAAGAAGAAAATTTACGTGTAAACTTAATTTTCTTGGAGCGAAAGATTTGTTTACTCAAGGTACTTGAATCTCGAGATTTCGTGACGTGAGCGCAAGAGATGAAAAGTTTGAATGTGAAGAGTGCGATGCGGCGGAAGTTGCAGATAAGCTGCTGGAAATTGTCTATATTTAATTCGCATTTCTTAAATGAAGAGTGGTTTGGTTAATCAAACGAATTCTCAACAATTTTTATCCGTATAATTTTCGCTCGGAATTTTACATTCGTTGTTGAATAATTACCTAACGGAAGATATCTCGACTGTCACATATTGCCATTGAGCTATTATTGTCAAAGTTTTTTAGTTTTAAAAGTCGAATAGATCAAGTTTTTCACGAAATAAATCTCTTATATCGCAGTAACAAACTGACTCGTCGTCAAAATGACAATAAATAACATCAGCTACCTAGAGTATTATATCACACTGCCAATGTTATCTACTCTGCTTTCTTGTTATTCATCCTTTTGTATTTCTTAATTCCTTTGACATATCTGATTCACGCTACCATAAACCTGATTTTAATCTACCCTCAATAAACCTTGACGAAAGGGAAGCTACAGTAACATTGTCATATGTCACTAAGGATTGAATGACCCTCGAAAAATTTAGGCTCGTTAAGACATTTGGCTTATTAAGAGATAAGAATAGGTAGTATACCAACGGATGATTATAGTGGCACTGAAAGATTAAAGAGAATAAGCTGTTATTTTCAATTAAAACTCACTCCCTTCCTCTCTTTTACAGGTATAATGAAAGTACCACCGGCAAATCAACAGCTATTTAACAAGGAGAACCAGCTAATGTCGGACAGCAAGACTTTACAGGATTACGGACTGACATCGGCAACTGCAAAAGCGCAGTGTCCTGCATTAGTCGGCTTAGCTCTGCGTCAGCCTGATGGCCAGTTTGAACCTCTCGAAATGACACCGTTCTCTCTACCGCCGGATCTCCCCGACGTTATGAAGTCCCAAGAAAATAATGGTCAAGAGCAATCACCTTGAAATAACGCGGACGACATTGCGTCGGGCGACGATGAAGTTTTGTGTTCTGCGCAATCTAGTAATCGTCAGGACAGCTCTGAATGATTAAAGAAAAAGGGGCAAAAGGGAAATCTTACGTATCACGTATGTGAATATTAGGGTGTGAATATTATGGTAACGAATACTATAATATTGTATGAATATTAGATACAACTTTACACAAATATTCAGAGCTGCAAAATTTTTCAATATTCAATTTAATGAGGATGCTATATAGTCACGCGATCTTCAGTCTTATAAGGACATGTGATGAGTACCAATTTGTACTTTATTATTAGACTGAAAGTGATAATAAAAATAAAAAAATTCTGCTCACTATTGCGCATCAAACCAAATTAATATAGCTATATTAAAATTAACATAAGCGTTTTGTTATGGTCAAAATGCGAGATATAAATACCTCAACTTATGTACATTTAAGTTACAGGTATAGCTTAATTATTTTAAAGTACCTTTTTTAGTAACTTCTTTCAAACTGAATGTCTATCTGTGCTGTATGTTACTTTCGCTTACACGTCCTAGTGTCGCAAGGAGAATCAAATTATTAGATGCAATATTTTATCGAACACGCATTACACTTTCTCATTTAATGTGGACATCTACATCCAGTAGTCGTATCGTATTGGCGTACAAGACGGACGGGATCTGAGCTGATACACAATCGTAAATGTAAAATGCTCTAATTAATGATCTTTAGTTCGGTAACGTCGTATCCTATTAATTATTGTCTTTAACTTATACAGTTTTATAATCAATGGCAACACCATTAACTGTACGTTACGATAAGACTTGCAACAACACACTCTAGTAATGTCATGCTACGCGATAGCAGGGAAAAAAATTGTATATGATTACACATACCCTTATTTAATATTTAAAAAATAAATCTTTTGGCATTTTTATTTTATTTATTACTCATGTACATTTCAATCTTCTCCGCAATAAAATTGCTTGCCGAATTAGTGGAATAAAATTCAGTAATAAAATAAGATCATTGTTAACTGCTCAAGTTCTTATATTTGCTTAACATTTCCATTATAAAATCCCTATAAATATCTTTTTTACTCGGCACATAGTGCCCTCCTTCGTGCCGTATCTCCTTCTTATCTGGGAACAGACGACTGATTTGTTCTGCCATTACTGCAACAAGTAACGACTGAATTGAGCATTGAATATGTTGGTCTAAGTTGCTAATTATACTAACAATATTAAGCCTTTTACATTTTAATATATATATTAAATCTGTTTTATACGTCTGTCTTTTACATTAATAATATTAAATCAATGATCGTATACCTGTCGGAATGACTTGATCATTCTCTCCATAAATATGCAAAGAAGGTATATCTATCTCTTCGTCGTAATACTTTGCGTGCGGCGCACACAGTGATTTGAATCCGGATATTATAATAGCAAAGTGGAATTCTATTTCTATCACTGCAAGCAGATAACAATTGTATGTTCATTTTATATACGTGTACATGTTTGCACACATCGACTGATCTCCATCGCAAGGTTGTATCTCGATTTTTACACAATTTTCGGTCTTTCCGCTCAAACGCTCGTTTAGGGCCAGAATGAGCGTTTAAACAGAAAAACCGGAAATTGTGTAAACACGAGATACGGCCTTGCGAAAGAGATCGGGCAATATATTAACGTGTATTATTTCATTAAATTTACTTTTCTTCTTCTTCATTGCGCATAGTACACTGACGAAAGCAGCTCCCTGCGAGAAACCCAGTATGCCGTCGAAAGGACCGTGTTCTAAAAACGCTTTCTCGATCGCGGCTACGCTGTCGTCAAATCCTACACACAAGTCGCTCGGCACCGTGGCTTTAAACACACGATCCTCTGTATTAAACCACCATCCGTATCCTGTAATTCATACACAGCAATACAATTAAGACGCAATCGCTGCACAGGGTGACGACACGAGAAACTTCTGGTGCTCTCCATTTAGCGCACAAGCGTCAGTCCGCCTTTGTTGTTCAACATCCAGTGAACAGCAGGGATAAAATGATACTTGTGTCAGATTGTGCCAATGAATGGAGAGCACGTTCGTGACTTTCACTGATATTTCTCACGCGCCATTATCATCCGCATCCTCTTGACTAATCCCATCCAGGGATGGGACCCTGTGCGGCGATCTTACAAACGTGAAGTCGATCTCTTTCTTAAATCCCTTCCTCAACGATCCCAATTTAGCGCTGAAGATCGCGTCCGATTGCCTGTATCCGTGTAGAGCTAGTATCTAAAATAAAGGGAAATATATCCTACAGCATGCGCGTGCATAAACACATCGGTATACTTTCACGTTCGATGCGTCAACGAATTATTTACCCGCAATTTCGAATCGGTGGCCAGCATCGTTCGGCTCGTGACACGAACACAGTCGGCATCCGCATCTTTCACAGTGTCTCATGGTCGGAAAGGTTAGTGTACAAACATCGATATGTATACATCAGTAGTATTAGAACCTCCACAAATGAAATACCTCTTAGTTTTCAAAGGGAAATTTCGCAGAGAGGTCAATTAGGAATGTAGAGATTCGATTGTTATACATTTTTTTATAAGTGAAAGGAACCCACATAATAAATGATAAATTAACAATTTAAAAGTTTGCGTATCAATTTCACCCTTTCCGGTGGAGACGATCTCCCCATGTGGCGAGATCGTTTCCTGCGCACTCCAGCAGATCCGGGGATAAATGAAAAACCGATATGGCGTTTCTCCAGCTGTATTTACATTTTCTCTCACGTCAGATGCCATTAAAAATTTTCAGTATTTAAGAACAATGTTTGCGTAACAATTGTATATGATTGTATATAATTGTGTGTAAATAATTATGCCAATTTTTTTATTCCTGGCGAGAAATTTCAATAACAACACTGGCGTACTCTCGTAGACTCAAGGCTACAAAATTTAGAACTCTTGGTCGCTATCTTAGTTCGCCCTCCCCCCCTCCCCCCAACCCTTTCTTTTAGGAACTGGAAAATGTAATTAGATTTTATTAAAAAAATATGAATTTCATGTATTCACAGGTTGAATTTTTCAGATTTAAGGCTAAGAGAACTGAATACAATTCCACGTTTTCACCATCGCGCTGAGGATCACTGAAAATGGCGCACAATCTCCCGTTAGAACGTCACTTTTAAACTGAAAGAAATCATTCGGGAAAAGAAAACAATTACAACTTCGTCGATTCAATTATGTTCTTAAAAAATTAAATTGTAGTTAATATTTAAAGGTCACTAAGGTCCACGTCTTTCAATTCCGAATTGAGATTCACATCGTTCTCATTACTTTTAGAGTTTTTTGGCTTTGCTTCCCTGGGAACCTCCAACTTGGACCAGCAGCCGGGCTCGGCCTTCTTCAATTTAATTTCTACTTTGGTTGGCAGCATGTGTACGCTACTTTGCTCGACGTCGACGACCTAAAACGAGCAGAAGAACGCGCATCGTAAGTGCCGGCGCGTCAGTTAACTTGTCCACTACACGTGCAAGACTGGAGCACTAAAATTAACACGTACCCCTCTCAATTCTATATCGAGATCGTATCTCGAATCTTCTTCTACAAAGAATAAATCTACAGTCAGATGGATGGGATTTAATTTTATGGCAGACCGACTGGGCAGATATTTTTTTGCAAATATAGAAACAACTACGTGCGATCCAGTTTGATGCCAGTCCATCCTACATTGAGCCTGCTTTCCCACATTCTGCAACGAATGAATTTTACACGTGCGTCAATCGCAAAAAAGAAACAAGGGGTGTGTCCCCATTTCCTTTCAGCACTACCGACAATAGTCTCGAGCATTCAGTCTCAAAAAAAGATGTGAATGGTTACATTTAGAAAAGAATAACTGCTGTTAGTTTGATATCAGTGACGTAATATTATGGTTGAATTCCTTGAAAAGGACCACAACCCGCGTGGCCGAAACGTCGGATTTAAATAAAGAAACCATCTGCCAGCCTAAAGTCGTCCAACAATTCTTTTTATCGTTAATCAACTACTGGCGATTCACATTCTTTCGTTGGGGAACAATTTGCTCAGAAGCTGAATGCAATAATAACGTCCAGTACTGGAAGTAGTACTGAGAGGAAATGGAAACACACGCAAGTATTAAGGCCTGTGTCCACGATGCTAGAACTTGGTCCACGTTCTAGTTCCGAGAAACGTGTGGCCAATCAACTTGCAGCTATTCCATAAAAGCTACAAGTTGATTGGCCACACTTCTCGGAACTAGAAATTGAACCAAGCTCTAGCCTCGTAGGCACAGGCTAGTAGACATATTTTTTCGCTCGTCCAAACGCTGTACCTTGGAGAACCATACGTGTCTGCCCTGCCTACAGCCTGGCTGTTGCAGAAACAAGGCGAACTCCGTGGTTTTCTTCTGACAGCAAGACCAATATTTCATTCCTTCGTGAAAGATAGGCACACCAGGGTGATAATTGCAAGTCTCCTCGTCAGAGTCGGGTCCCGCGTAAGTCCCCTTGCAGGAATTGTTCGTACAAGATTGTCCTATCTGTACCACACCGTCTGTCGGTTTGTCGCTCCCTAAAGCCGTCAGCCCCTTAACTTGTTCCAGCAAGGCCGAAGATATCGTCGGCGACAGCGTGACCTGCGGCGCATCGAAGGGAGGTCTTTTCAGGGATACTCTGTTGCTCACAGGTCTCGTGGCAATCCGCACCATATTGTTGCATCTATTGACCGTCGACTTTTCCGGTTCCGGTGGCTTCTCGTTCGAATGCTTCGACCTCGTGCACCCATTGATGTTCAAGAACTCTGTGAAGTCCGTACACTTCTTACTGCAACAGGACCATCCCTTGTACACGTCGTGAAACACCGGGCTTCCCGGATGGTGGACGCAATCGTCTGTGAAAAAGCGTTGCCTTCCCTTTTATATACTGTTACTTTAGTTAAAACGAACAAAAAAAAAAACGAAACACTAATGACAGGTTTGCAGAAGGCCAGGTATGTACAACTTACCGTCCTTATTGTCGCTCGGATTGAATTTCTTTCCGCAGCCGCGGTTATAACAATGCAATAGACCCGTCTCCTGTGACATCTCGGGAATAACCGTTCGTCGTTGGATTTATCCGTCCCGATTAGAGTCTCTCAAAATGTCTCTACTTTACAACCGTCTTTCTACCGAATCGACCTCGATGTCGTAGCAACCATGATGTAAAAAGAAAGGTGTATCATTGCGCATAGCGGCGGCGGCACGATGAGCGAGCCAATGAAATTTGGGTCCAAATGCACATAGCTACTGCAAGAAAGGTGTATCATTGCGCATAGCGGCGGCGCACGATGAGCGAGCCAATGAAATTTGGGTCCAAATGCACATGACTACTGCGCATACACGATGTTGTTACACCTTTCTTTTTACATCATGGTAGCAACAAGCAATGTCGAAATAGTTGTCTCTCGCTACGATCATGGACAAGCAGACAGCAAGATTGACCATTTAAGCGGAAGAGTGAGAACCATAGACAATAGCATAGTCAAAGAGAAGCTTGACTGTGTTACCCGCAAGAAGTAAACTCTGCGCGTTGCGCCGTGCGCGCTGGCAGTCAAAAATATGTCGTAACCTATTTCTTTTTATAATTTAAAAACTATGCTTGGGAGAAAATTTAGGTAAAGGAAAAATTCTCGATTTTCGTGATTTGAATGTGAAAATTCTCGG